ACTGGCAATGCTCTCTAACCTTAAATCCTGTCTGTTTCGTCGCCTTTGCTTTGTGTGCAGCCGGATAGTTCCTTTGCTAATAGACTCCTATAATAAGCCTATGTCTATAGCGATGACGCCCCTTCCCCTTTCATAATTACCCAACTCCGGCTTTTTTCGTTTAGAATACCGCACTGGATGCCGAGGATCAGAAATCAACCAAAAAGGGCAAGGACAAGCTGTCGAAAAAAGCTCAACGAATGCCCGGACACCTGGACGATGACGAGGAGGAGAGTGAATCCTCGGGCAGTGATAGCGATGCCTCCTACGATCTGGACGATGGTCAAACCGTCAGACACATCTCACGTTCAAAGAATAAGAAAAAGAAGCAGCAGCACAAGGGCTCGTCCGATGAGGAGGAGGAAGAGGCTGGGGCAGGGAGTGACGACGCTATAGCAGACGAGGACGAGGACTCGGACTTTGACCTGGAGGCAGCTCTGAATGAGGAGGTGGAGGATGAATCAGAGCATTCAGATGATGCTGACGACGATGAGCTGACGGACTTTAGGCTCGAGGACTTTGGGGGTGAGGATAAGGAGAAAGATGAGGGCAAAAAAAAGGCGAAAAAACGACCTCGTCACGATAAGTCCTCTCACGCCGCAGGCCGGGACGCGCTGTCGAATGGCGCTTTTGGAGATGACGACGGTGCAGATGATCAACAGAATAAGAAAAAGAAGAGGAAGACTTCAGGGCTGAAGAATAACAAGCCCCAGAAGAAGATGAAGAAGGAGTTTGAAGGAAAAGTGGGCGGAGCTTCGAGTGCCAACAAAAAACTGAAGGCTGGTGGTTTAGAAATGGCACCAAAGAAGCATGCGGACAAATTCAGGAAAAACCATCAAGCAGCGAAGCAGAAGCAGAAGAAGAGAACTGCCTGATTTCTCACTCTTCCCCCTATGTATTTATGCAATCTTGTAAATTGTACATTGTGAGTCTCAGTTAAATTGAGAAAGCCAGACCAGGGACTTTTTCCAGGGGTGGTGTGCAGACTGCTCACAGGGAGAGGGGGCAGATTTTGACCTTTTACATTTGACCTAAAAGGATTTCGGTCCAAAGCTGGCATCCTTCCAAGCCTGAAGTATATTGGGATTGTACTGTCTATTAGTTACCATTACAACCGTACTTAGGTAATCCCTTTCGAATCGAAAAAAGTTTTGAACTTTCCTTAGAAAATCAACTGTACATCAGCTAACTTCTAAGGTGTCGTGAAAAAGACCCAAAACAAGTGAGGCGCCGTCATGTCCAACTTTATGTCAGGCAGCCGGAATCACCCACGTGGGAAGGGCCGAGAATAGCGACAACTCTGGCGACAGCAAGCATAATTTTCGCGTAATTAACCAGCCCGCATTCAATATGGACAAAGAAATCGCGACAATGAACGCCTCGAAAGCGGTTGCAAAGCCATCACTGCACGTAAAAATGCCTGTTCTACCGGCCTCGATGATGTCACCGACGGTACCCCTCTGCGCGTGACGATTAACGCCAGCGGTCTCGAGCCAAGTCTTGAGTTGCCCTCTTCTTCGAGGCCTCCTGGC